TCATGGTCATGGTTATAGCTATCGATCACGGCACGGCGGAGGCGGTGGTGGAAGAAAAAGAAGGGATGCCCATTATTGGCCGCCGAAAAGTCCTGATGCCGATCTTTACGGATCGGAAGATGGGGATACGTTGTTTCGCAATGAGGATCCCTTTCGAGAGTTCTGAGTGAAGGATTTTGCTGCTTTTGACTTCATGTCTGGTGAGGAGGGACCTCCCCACGTTCTTCACGTGAATGAAGGAATGGCGTGAGTATATATGTGATTTTGGTTCCACCGTGTTGAAAACAGTTGTTCTCTCTTTTTTGTATTTAATTTTTTTATATGTTCTGTTTTCTTTTCCTTTCTTTTTATCTTTGACAGATTCGGGATGGAGGTTGGAACTAGGTATGATGTGCAGAAGGGTAAGCAGATTCAGATGTCATAGAGAGGGAAAGCTGTACAAATAGCTGTGTGGGGCCACCCACCAACGCCAACGCCAGCATCAGCACAATCATTTTCGTTTTTATTAGTTTATTTCCCCCCCTCCCAACAGTTTTATTCCATGTCTTTTGATTACTTCCGTTCTTTGTCTTCTTTTATATCCTTGTTGCTCTTCGGGAGTTGCTGGCCATTTGTGTCTTTTCCGCGGCGTTCTTCCTGTAACCGATCTTAAAACCTATTTATTCCCGACCTTGTTTTCCTCCGGTATTCGTTCTCCAGACCGTTGGTAATCCTTGATTTTATATTTTGCACCTTTTCACTCTCGGATCCTGTTATTTAGTTCTTTTTCTTTTCTTTTTTCGTTATTTACTCTCTCCCTTTCTTCTTGTTATGTATACAAGGGAAAGTATGACGGAATTGGTTCTGGCTGAATATCCGATGTTGATATTGAATGTTTCTTTTATTATCACTTCTCGTTCGTTTTTGTAAGAAGAAAGAGGAATGGGAATAGGAATCAGCAATTTGGAATATGAACCCGCTCAAAACGGTCGAACGGACGTTCCCATCCTTGGGTTAATGTATATTCTCTTTTACTTTAGTTTTTTTCCCCTGTGTATTGGTTTCTTTTTATTCCCTACCGTTGGCAGTTTGTTTCTTCGATCGATCGATTTGATCGATTACTGAGCGGGATCAACCAGCTCGATTGTTGAATCTCAGATGCCGTTTAGATATGGTGATTGACGTACGGGGTTTTCGATGAAATATTTGTCTTAATTCCATCAATTCCAAGAGTGAAGCTGCGTTTGGCTCATTTTTCCCGGTCGTCTCGCTTCTTTTCCTCCCTTTCTGCCTTCATATTGGATACTTAATCGGCGAGTGTAAACCATTCAACTCACACCACGTCTATCGAAGTTGGACACAAACGGAATGGAAGCAAGATAAGAAGAAGAATGAGCAGGAGGAAAGAGAGGCAGTCAACGTAGTCATATCATCTATTGTTGCTTATGCCCATCCTGTGCTTTGTCCTCATCACCTTGATTCCCCCCTTTGCGAACGTTTGTCGTACATTGCAAGCATATATTGGTCGCCGCAATCTCACACATGTCGATTCCCGAATACAACCCGTCCAGATTTCAACATAGTTTCAATATCATATTTGTTGGATCTGCATGTTTTCCCCTTTGTCACCTTTCCCCTTCTTTCAACTTCCCTTTCCGTTTACCAATATTTTGCTGACACACTTGCTGCTTGCGCATAACTAGAAGGCTCGGAGTAACGGCAAGATATCTTCATCCGTTTGTCGGTATCACAGTCTCGTACAGGACATCGTATCCAAGGTGTTACATATTGTAACACTTGCTACTCATGTGCCGCAATGCTTCCTGAATGGATATCTGACCCCGGGATGTTTCGATCCTTGAGTTCCAACAAGGAGGAAGAGCCCAAGGTTCTATTGTCGGAATGATTTAGCCACCATGCTTATATGCGTCAATAAAAGTCTATGATTCAATAAATGGAAGTATCTCCGACCAACCGGCGAGAGGACGCGGAAGGGGAAACGGAGCCTGATGAAGCGGCCCTTGTAGATGGACGGCACAGACATGAGATGTTGTTTTTCTGGCCTCCTATTTACGACCTCCACTGCGTAAAAGTTGGCTCACTGGTATCTCGCAGCCATAGAGAGAAAGGTTGGTTTGTTCTGTGGTTGACTCAGAGATAGTTGCCGCATACAAAGCCGTTGAATCAATTCATGCGATATGGGAAGCTCAATCCATTGTCCTGTCATCTTCGCCCGTTGCATAAAGTGCATAGACTTGGGTGACATGTCATCATATTAAAATGTGTCTGAAGTTTCTCCCAAATATTTGCTCATGCATGTCCTCACTAAGTCAGCCCATGGATATATCAAGGGCTTCAATAATGCCACATATCGGACTGAATTGTATGATAAAGTAACTAACCATGCGACGACTGCATCAAGCGATCCGATAAATGCTGAGATATGAGAAACAACAGGGTATTGGAGTTTTCTGATCATCCGTTGGGCGTCTTCTCTGCACGAAAGACATTCCATCATCCACTTCCCGCCACTTCTCGCAAAGCTTCTATATCCAACCGTAGAATACTTTCTAACCCCCTCTAGTTACCCCGTTCATCCTGCGTATCAACACCTAATCTGCTCCAACAACCGTGGCCACATCCGTCGGTAAGACATACACCTCCTCCACCGGCATCTTGCGCCTTGCCTCCTCTATCTTCCCCTCCCTCACCAACTGGCCAATCTCCTGCATCAACCATGTAACATCCCTAATCCCCACTGTCCACTCATCCACATATCTATCCACCGCCTCTTCTTTCAACCCAACCTGCAACGACCTATACTCTAGAGGTCGGAACTCAAAATCTCGCTCCGGGTCCCACTGCACACGTACGGAACTTTCATTCTTGCGATGCTCCCAGGCTGCGTGGTCCGCATACAGGCGCGGGGTGGGATGGCTCAGACAAGCATGTGCCAACGCCCATTCAAACCCCTCGCGTGTAATTTCTATAGCTAGCACGCGCTCCTGGTCCTTCTTGGTGGCCCAGCCGCAGCGGTAGGCCATCCAGAGAAATGAGGGCTTGATCCAGGTCATGCGCACACGTTTGAAAGGGGCGACGAATTTACCGGCGGACAGCGCTGCGTTTGCAATTGCTGGTGAATAAGCTTGGTAGACAGTTATTGTTTTCGAGGTATATTGAGCCCGGATGGCGTATTTTGTTGGAGCAACATTGGGTTGGTCCATAGTTTCTGTGACTGTTGGAAAGATTACTCGCTAAATATTTGAATCGAGAATGTGATGGTCTTGGTCTTAGTTGGATTAAATGTAGGGAGATTATTTTGGGGGCTTCGATAGGAGAACACCGGGCAAATACTCAGGGAAGCTTGGATTGGACAGCGACCATGTTCCTTTGACGATGCAATGTTCTTATACGAGTTTTTGACAAGGCTGAAAATAACCATTGGCAGGTATCTTTCTTCACCTGACCAGGCGTCGTGTTCAGCCATGTTTTGAGGGGTTAAGCGGATAGCATTTCACAGCCCGGTTTGAGTCACTGATTCGGGTCAATCCAACTTGGAGACGTATCCAGAGACACAATAGCGACACAGAGAACAGCGAAATAAATACACATTTAGCAGACTGACTTGGCTGAGGAAGCCAAACGAAGATGGATCATGATTCGCAGACTGGTGGTCCACTTCAGCGTTCATCCCATAGCAATGCTCCCCAGCTGCTCTTTAGGTTCCAACATCTATTTATCTCCCCCTCGACGAAGTATCTTACCGGCATCTAGATAACTCATATATGAGGGTTGGCTGAGCTCTGTTCCGTGTCGCGATCAGGGTTATCCATGGATGATAAAAGAATTATCACTTAGTCTGCAAATAATACTAAGAAGTGACCGTGGCTCCAGCTCTGATCTATCATAAGATGCTAACTGTATATTTAGATAATAACAAGATGGTGAGAAACGGGATTTCCTAGTTAGAAATAAAATGGGGGATTTGAGGAAATACAGAGAGATCTGAAGGAGAAGAGAGCAAATTTAAAATCTAGCTTTGTAGATAGGTTCCTCCGCTTCCTCATCAACACCATTATCATCCTTTGGCAAACATCAGCGTACGAGCTTTGCAAAGGGTAGCGCCCGCCCCGCAAACCCGCAAAACAGTTCGTACTTTCTCTTCGCTCTATCCCCTCTGCCAAACAATCTTTGCAAAATCCTGATGGGACCTCTTCCCATTTATCCATTTGCTATCTTCTGGTCTCATCCTGAGCTGGAAAGCAGGTAGGGAGTGCTGAGACGGCACGCAAAAGCTCACTGAGGGGATATTTAGGCCCCTGAAAAATTCCCCGTCGACGATACGGCCAATCGTCCGTTGCTAGCAAACATGTTGTCACCATAGAAGTCCTTGTGGACAAGTGCGTGGGGCTCCGCAACAATATCTTGTAGCATTCTGTCTTCTTTCCACACTGTATCTCGCTCCCGTTTTAGGAACTTTGATAATATTCGAAAACGGTAGTGGTTTTAGACCCACTTCGTTTGATAGCGCGCTCATCAGAGTGGCTGCAAAAATATACCTGGCGATCATAGCATGCATGAATGTAAACCTTGCTGTCAGCATATGGCCTGATATCGTTTTAACAGTCTGCGGAGTGGAATTTGGCCTATGTAAAAGTGGTACCAAATCTTGTCAAATATCGGAATAACGGATATCCTATTGTAGCATCAGTGTCAGCAGCCTCAAACCCCTATTTTTTCCCAATAGGTCTCATCTATCACACCACCTAACTGTATTCCTGAAATCTCTGCGAGATAGGCCTCATTTTACACAGGTATAAAACGCCCTCACCGAATACGTAACCTGAATTCGGAATTGAAGGCCGAGAAACGAATATTCCGCCATGGAGGAAACTGAGACTATATACCCATGAACCTGAGGGGTTGAGATCCTGCGCGGCCCGAAGATTGGGATGCCTGGATGACTGCGATATCGCGCAAAGCTGAGTCCCTCCGGGTCGCTGAATATCTGGAACCTTGAAATGGAACCTCCGGATATACCGAAAGAACCTGATTACCCAGCGTATCCACCAGATAAGGATGTTGCCAAAATTCAGTATGAGATTAGCCTCGAAGAAATCTGAACGAACGATTCAGGGCCTAAGTTCAATGGGATGCTACATATTCCGTGCCCATCTCAGACCACCAACTACCAGGGCGCCCTTCACCCAGAGCTGCCGAACGTCGCGTCAAATGCTTGAGAAGTTAAAGAGTGCAGCATCTCCAACAGACGACTTTCAATTGCACTATATTGCGAAATAACAGGGATTTGAGGCTGCTGACACTGATGCTACAGTAGAATATCCGTTATTCCGAATGTTCGGTTGACGGTTCGGATTCGGATTCGGATATTTGACAAATCTTGTTCTGCAAAGGCTGGAAACTACATTGGCGAATGCTCCACACGATCGATGCCCTTGCTGATCTTCGCTAATTTAATTGAAGCCACACGGCACTCAGCGGCTCACCTGGGATGACCTCCTGAGCAATGAAGGCACAGCCAGCGTGGAATTGATCATCCCAAGCAAGAACTCGTGGTGCAAGAAAATATATCTGGAAAATTTTCTCAGCAAGGAAGAACAAACAAGCTACATAACTACCTCATGGCGAAGCTGGTAGTTATGGTTGAAGACTACTTACTGATGTTTTGCTTGAGAATGCGAAGCACAATCTTCTTTTCTAATTCCGCGACTCTCTGTTGTGTTCCACGTCAGGAGCAGGAGCTGCGATTCGAGGAAGAAATGACAGACTTGTGAATCGTAACTTATTACTATAGAAAATGTCAACATCCAGAACATAGTTGTTATGTAAATATGCCCCGCAAGCTAGATGTTCAATGTTAATCAATCCACGCAGCCCATCCAGGTCTTTGACAGCCTTTGCAGCCACCTTCAATGTACCAGCCATACGGGCCTCCACGTTTATTTTCCTTCAGTTCCTCGCTACACAGGTGAACGGGCGCTTGGTCTCAATCTTCTCAAAAGCCATACCAGCTCCGACTTGGTCAATGCTGCCCGTCGCTCAGTGGCCTGCCCTGAATGGATTAATATGCCGGTTATTGGGGTAGCATTTTACCTGAAGATTGGGCATGGATGGGAGCGAAGCTCTCCCAACTTTATCCTGTTTGACAAGGGATTTTGGGTCATAAGAAATTGGCATCCAGGCAAGGGATGCCAGCTGCACAAACGAATGTAACAAACTTGAACTAAATAGGCCGCGGAGTGATATTTTATACAACAAGGTACATTCGATAGCAGGAAGTGCTACAAAATGCACATTCTAGCCATAGGCAATAGAAACTAAATCAAAATAGATTAGAATAGAATAGAAAAATCTTGTCTGTTCACTGACCTTGTTTGTTAAAAATCTCAAGAGGAATATGCGTACATACATCTAATAAACACAGGAACCCTTTTAAGAACCGCAGCAAATTCAAGAACTCTTCACCACATAGAATTACAACCTCATGGTGACCTTCATTCGTATCCTTTCCCATATGTGCAGCAAGATACGAGATCAAAAAGGAAAATGACAAGGGAGAAGAATAAGAGATGTAGAAACAGAGCAAAGGAATCGCCGTGGGGCTGGTTATTATGCTCCTACCCAAGCAGCAAAATTAATATAAACACACACATACACACACACACACACACACACACACACACATGATAGAAGATTGTTCTATTAAGAGAGCCGCCAAAGGAAAAAGCGGAAGACATCATCGTTTACTATATGGATTTATAGTTTCGCGGCCTCCTTGACCTCGCCAATTTTCAGTTTGCCGCCGTACTTCTTCAGCACGGACTCGTTGTGATACTGTAGTAGTGCCATTCCGTTCAAGTCAGTTATGAAGTTACATGAATAGACGGCGTGGCAAAATGGAATGTCTGGTGAGGCTAATCTTTGCACTGACCTTCCAAAACTGCTTCGACGCATCCTTGCCCCCAACCCGTTTTAGGATCTTCGCGCCGCCAGGATGCTCATCTGCAAATTGCGTCACGTCGTATACGCTCGAGTCTATGACGATGTAGATGCCATTGTCGGCCGTGTTGTGCTGGGCCACCTCGGCGGTTGTGAAGGATTTCGACATGACTGCGACGCGTATTCAATAGGTTTGCGGATATTGGATAG